CTACGACCGCATGCTGATTATGTGATGAGAAAATACCTTTTATATAACAGCTTTGCGGCACCTCATCTCAAATTTTGCTCCACAATCCTGTATAACTTATTGAACCATGAGATAAATGAGTTTCGAGTAATTCAAACTAGATCATTAAGATCGATCTTAAAGTGTAACAGATACACTCACGCAAACCTAATGTCAAATGGTGTTAATGGCATGACGGTTAAACAAGGAATTATTTATGATGCAAATATTTTTATGTGTGTAGGTATCGCTCTATCCAAATAACAAATTCTATTCTGTATAAGGGTCTCTCCTAAAATAATAAACTGCCAAATACCTTGAAAAATTGTGATAATTTCAATGACTTAAAACTATGTTGAGGGAATATGTGATGTCTAGATTTTAAGTATAAATCACTGTTTCATCTTAATTTTGCCTATATGTTGATTTCTGCTTATAGATAGGTTGTTTGTTGGTTTTGTTTGTTCATGCATTTTCTAAAACTTTGTAAACAACTGTTTTTGTATGTAGCATCCCAAGCTAACAAAGAAATATTATTATTATTATTATTACTAAAAGTTCTATTGTGTATTGCTGCATGTTCTTAACTTTGCTTCCACTTCCATAATATTTCCACCATTCTGGTCAATTAGCATTGTCGGTTGTCTCTTTCATAAATATAATATTTCATTACAATATGAGTGAAAAGACACTAGGTACGGAATAGTAGTATTTATATGTGTTGTCGGTAAATGATCCTGCAATTACGGTAGGCCTTCACTCTGAATAATTTTGTGATAGAGACGCACTGTCTGAGGCTGACTCTTATTTTCTTTCAAGTTTATCTACGAGAGACTTTTGGAAATCTTTGTATTTTGTCCACGTCTTCCTCATTTCAACATGGTCCCTAAACAGCATCAGCGTAATTAAAATTGCTTAAGACGAGAATCTCCTCTAACTTTAACTTACTATTTGTGCTCATATTTGCACAAATAATATGACATTTGAGATACCTCGCTTCCACGACTGCTTGTAATTTTTCGCTTCTCCAAAATATTTTCGAACTCTGTTGTATTTTTCCCAAAAATCGAGATAAATAGACTCCATTTTGCAGCACTACATTGGGGAGATCCATGTTTTGCCTAATTGCAGCTTCTTCGTGATCCTCAAAGTTCTGTGTTACTTTAAGCCCTTGTATTTTTACTTTTATTAGTTGCACTGATATAGGATGATTTGTACTACAAAAACGTAGACACCGTCGCGACCTTTTCTAGTATATTTGAGTGCGCAATCGAACAATTCAAACCGGCACAAAACGATTTATTATATTAGATTGTCATTAGATTACTTTACAATGGCCGATTGTCCTTGCGTTGTCGTGTCTCGGGATTTATTTGCACCGTCAGTACTGGCGCAAAAATGGCGTAAAATTTGCAAAACGTCCTTTGGTTTATGTTGATTATAAGCGGCAGATTACGCTTTGCCGTTTACTAGGTTTTATAGCACCTTTGAAAATTGACACCATTACGAGGGCTGTTCAAATATTAAATACACAATGTTAAAAAAGCGTAATTTCTGAACTAACCAAAGACCGTCTCAACAGTTTGGAGTCAACATGGAGGCCAAATTAGGAGAATACGGTTGCCCAAAAGCAAGCAAGTTTTTCCATTCTTTTTCTTTGATGTAGTCGCGTAGTTTTTAACTTCTTCTTCTTCGACATTTTGCTTTACGAGTACGCCGTTTTTATCCTCCACTATCAATCATCGCATCACCAATGTATGTCTTCCATCGTAGTGCCAGCCGTCCTCTTCCTCTTCTCCCTTAAGGTTCCCATTCCAATACTCGTTTTGGCTACCTGTGTTCTGGCATTCTTTTTATGTGACCATACCACTGTAATGCTCGGTTTTCTAATTTCATTTTTATCGAACATTCTATTCCCATTCGTGGACATAAAGTCCAATTCGACCGTTCTTATTTTGTTTCTTATCGTTTTCATTGACCATACTTCTGCTCCATATAAGATTATATATTGTATTGTGCTTTGGAAGATTCTTTTTTTGTTTTCTTTAGTAAGAGTATTAGTTCCATATCAGTCCATGAACTGCTTTTTCTCGTGCTATTTTAATCTCTATATCCTGTAAACATGTGCCATCTCGGTGTAATGTCGATCCTAGATGCTTGAAAGTTTGGCAGCTATTAATAATTTCATCCTCTAAATTTAAATTTAAATGTTCGGTTTAATCCAAATTTATTTTTAGTCCCCACAGTTAGTACTCTTCTTTTAGCTTTCTTATCATGTCCTTTTTTGTGCAAAAATAACTTGATCATCCGCGTATAGTAGTGAATGCAATATGTTTTCTTGTATCGGTATGCCAATCATTCCACACTTCTTGTTTTAGTCTCCTTTTGTTAATTCTTTGCCTACTTTTATTTACGCTTTTGTCTCATTATATAATCTTTTCGTTATATTTATCCATTTTTAATTCCTTTCATAGCTTCCCATAATTGTTTCCTGGGTACAACAAACATACGCTTTTTTTCTAAACTTAAAACAGCATAATGTTGTAAAGATTTAATGGATAAGCTATAAAATTAAACCGATAGCATGGCATAGCAAAAATTATGACAACATGCTCGGGCGGTTGGGTCAAATTTGCCTATTTCAAATTTTGGTTTCAGATATTCGAAGATCAGAGTAAGTTTTTTTTATATAATAAACGCTATGTACATGTCTAAATTTGGAGAGAAAACTAAACTATATAAGGGGTGTTTTTTTTCGATGTATAGAACTTTAACTTGCAATAAAACAACGATGGATTATTCGATTGACATGAATTTTATTTATCCGAAAGATAATCTTGTGGCATTAGATTTTAAATATGATTTCTGGCATATGACCGCCACGGCTGGCGCGGATGTAGTCCAATCTGGACATCCAATTTTCGATGACTTTTCCAACATTTGTGGCCGTATATCGGCAATAACACGGCGAATGTTGTCTTCCAAATGGTCAAGCGTTTGTGGCTTATCCGCATAGACCAATGACTTTACATAGCTCCACAGAAAGTAGTCTAGCGGTGTTAAAACACAAGATCTTGGCGGCCAATTGACAGGTCCAAAACGTGGAATTAGGCGGTCACCAAACGTGTCTTTCAATAAATCGATTGTGGAAACGAGCTGTGTGCCCATAAAGCGCACCAAACAGTTAGTTTTTCTGGATGTAACGGTGTTTCGACATACACTTGAGGATTAGCTTCGCGCCAAATGCGGCAGTTTTGTTTGTTGACGTAGCCATTCAACCAGAAGTGTGCTTCATCGCTAAACAAAATTCGCTTATGAAAATCGGTAACAACGGCAATCTCGTTTTGGGCCCATTCGAGGAATCTACGCCTTACTTGATGATAGTTTGGCTTCAATTCTTGCACGAGTTGGATTTTGTAAGCACGTAAACCAAGATCCTTCCGCAAAATCTTCGTGGATGGACACAGATCCAATTCCTGTGATCGATGGCGGATGGACTCATTCGGGTCTTCCTCAATGCTACGCTCTACAGCAGCAATAGCTTCTTCTGTACGCACCGTACGGCGTCTCTGGGGATGCGAGTTATCAATCAGAGTAAACGTGGTGCGAAAACGTTCCATGGTTAATCGAATTAACTGCTCTGATGGACGATTTTGTCGACGATGAAATGGACGTAGTGCGCGATACGTATTCCGCACAGAACCATTATTTTCGAAATAAAATTGCACTATTTGCAAGCGTTGCTCAGGCGTGAGTCTATTCATGATGAATTGCCAAACCAAACTGAAAATAAACTTGACAGCTGTTAAATCGGTCGCCATCTTGAACAGTAATGCCAACTTAAAGTTCTATACATCGAAAAAAAAACCCTTACTTTTAGCGGTACTGGTATATTTTATTTCAACGTGTATTATTAATTGGTTAACTTCAAAGCGCTGTTGTTAAAATGTTCGATGGAAAATCTCCAACCGCTGATAATTTTTTATTAGCAATTTCGATTGGTCAATTTTTTAAATAACATTAGTATTTCAAGCCTGTTCGATACCCGACAGAAACTAATAAATTACTGTCAAGTATTTGTTTCATGGGCGCACGCACGCAAAATTATTATAAGCAGGACTTTATTTTAATAACTAACTTATTTTTATGAGTGTTTATTCAAAAAAATCAAAATCCTGGCCTGGAACGCCGCTGGAAATGTTCCTAAATTTTGCATAATAATATCTACCACAAAAAGATAACTTTAGAAAGCCACGAAAATGTACTTTGAAGCGCTACTTTGGATATTTTTTTGTTACGCAATTGGCGAAACTCGGAATAATTATTACCATTTTTTATACAAGGTGTGTCACAGGGTGTATGATATTAGACATTTTTGGAAGACGTTTTATGATAATAATGTTGCAAGAATTTCGTATTTTTAAACAAAGGTTTGTTAGTCAATATAATGAATTTTCATTAAGATATGACAGTTATGTGTAAAAAAGCAAAATCATAATCTAATCTAATTCTAAATAGTCAATTTAAATTGAAAAAATGGAAAGAAAGTGGTAGCGGAGTCAAAAATGGAGCATGTTTGATCTATTCAAAAATCGAAGTTGAAGAGGTCAGCGCGATAATTCGAAGTGACCAGATTCTCAACAAGTTTCTACCAAAAGGAGAGGTTCAACAGTGGACCACCCTGTATACGCATCTTGTAAATAAAAAAATCGCTATGAAAATTTCGAACCACATGTGTGTGATGTTATTTTCTTTTGGCACGTACGGAACGAGGCCATGGCTGAAATCTTTCAAAAATATCCGTACGCTCCTGAACCCGTGACTAAAATGCCATAATTGTATTTTTTTTTATTAGAGAGCAGAAAGTAACTTTTTTCTCAAAATTTATGACAGTCCTTTTTTGAGATTGAAGGTGACGAATGTTGCTCAATTCGACAAATAAAACGCACTTTTTTATGAATTATTATTTTTTAATCCTTAAAGATAGGAGACATATACACAGAGACATTTCACATTATTCATTCTACTTTAGTTACAATTTCTTTTTAATTAAATACGTTATTACTGTATCATCATACGAAAACGAAAAGGACTGTAAAATTCATATAGATTATTCCATTCGGTACCTGAAAAATATGTAAAAATAGGAAACAAAAGGTATTGCTATGTAGCTATATCACTTTCTATGTTTAACAGTATAGGTTATTGGGCGAGGCCAACGTCAACGAAAGCATTTACACTGTCTGTTTGTTTAGTTTTAATCATATGTACACTTTAAACATATATTTATAATACATTTGTGTTCCACACAAAATTTCTCCAGTTCTCGAAATTTCCCGGGACGTTTTCGCGGTGGGTTTCGGAAAATTTCGAAAAATCTTTGGTAAGATAAATTTCGAACAGGTTCTTCTGGATATAGTACATCGTCACTATACAATTTACAGTTTCAACCACAATACGAGTATATACAAATTCTCGCGAAATATTAAAAATTTATACAAAGCAAATTATTAAATTAATTTAAAAAAAAAAGGAACATTTTCTACTTTTCTCAGTAACATGCGGCACAGTCTAGGCGTATCGCTGCCCGCAGTTATCATATATACGGAACTAAAAGGTCAATAAATAGAAGATCTTATTAACAAAGAGCACCAAAAGGAGCCGAAAGTAATGTCCGTATGCACCATTGTACTGTTTCTCCTAATCAACTTTAATTTCTCGATGGCATCGAATTATAATGGCGGCTAATTAACAAGTGAGGTTATGTTTGATTTTATTCTTAACATTTGTATAAAATAAATGTGTTATTTTTTAAAATCATTTCGTATAGGTACTGTAATGAAAAATTCAACTCCTTGACCGGGAATACATGAAATGGTGAATACGGGCATAAATATCTTGACCGGCGTAATTCGAATTCAAAGAAACGGTTTACGAAAACTACGTTAGATACTATATATCATTGGTTTTGTACTTTAGCGTTAGCTTTTTAGATTTATTATATGTTACAAAGCACTTTAAGGTTAGAAAAATTTACAATAAAGCTATGGTGGGGGGAGGGGATATTTTCTCGGCCGAAGTGCGTCTGGAACGACCCGTCAAGTAAAATCAATTTGTTATTTCAGCATAGATAAGAAGTACGTAAATATACCCCAGTTTCCAGAGTTATTGCACCCGAATTGGAATACAATTCTGCTCTAGCACACCTTCAGGCTGTCATTTTGTTTAGATGACCTGAATTCTACACATTATCCGGAATTTCCAAAAATTAAATCTGGCAACCCGGTAGTGACGATCTATCGGCCAGATGCAAAAACACATTTTGTTTTTGTTTTCATATTTTTAACGTTTCATTAAAATATTAATGATGTTGCAATAGTAATAGTCATGCAAATTTCTATTCTATTCCTAAAGTTCGTATTTTTCATATTTGAACAAGTCTTGGGGGTTGAAACTTTACCAAAAATTTGGTAAGATTGTCGATCAAATGATTAAAAATATAAAACAAAAACAACTATGCTCGAATTCGAAATAAAAAAATTAAAATTATTGCATTGTATATTAACAACCTTAATTGCTTAGCTAATATCAGACGCACTTCGACCTCGATCGAACCGAATCCGTTCGAAACTAACGTCGTCAACGAACAAGTACAGCACTACCAAACGATCTCTCCTTAACAAGTAGGAAATATAAATATGAGCGTTTCTCTACAGTAGGGTCATATTGCAAAATTATCCCGTATACAAAGGTCAAGCGGAGCTGGGGGGGGAACAGGCACGTGGAGCGTCCCACAGGGATCTATCACAGGACCAGTTATCACCGTTTTGACGTATTTTACTCGGGTCGTGCCCTAAACCGGTACTCTACTTGGCCTGTTTTTTTTTGTATCGAAATTAAAATAAGAAAAACGGGTCAATTCGCGTCGAATCGAGCACACTAAAAATTTAAAAAACAATCATATTTGTTATTGATTGGTTTAAAATCCACAAAATGTACCAAACATTTTGTGCGACGTAAAACCTATAAAAGATGTACCCGTGAAACATAAAAATAAACAATAAACGCTTTTATTAATTGAGTTTAAAAAAATTAATAAAATTAATAAAATGTACGTATATAATTATTGGAAAGACTATTTTGTAAGACTATATATAAGACTTCATATTCTTCTAGCTTATCTAAATATAAATTATGTAAACATTATATGTAGTTATTTCAAAATTATTTGCAAAGAATCTGTGACTATTAAATATTTGTTTATAGATTTTTATTTAATGTTATTAAGACACTTTAACTTGATTTTATATTGTGAACTATGGATAATAATAATAACAACAACAGTTTCATCAGCTGCTAACAGAAAAATAGTGGTATTTCTGATAATAATAAATTGGTGGCAGATTTATAGGAAAGTCCATTACAAAGTCTTCGTAAAACAGTTCCCCACATATTTCAAATTTTCTTTAAAAGAAAATTTAAAAATTAAAATTTATATTTCGAAAATTAGCGGAAAAACCTAAAAAAGAAAAGTTTTTAAATATCAAAGAAATCTTTGATTTACTACAAAATACAACTGATATTCCTATAAATTTGATTTTATTTTTTTTTATAAAATAACGTTTAATTTACGCGAAGTTTGACTTTTAAATTACAAAAAATAAAATTTTCCTACGAAAATATTTATTAACTGAACTATACATTTTTATTAATTTTGATATTACAATTTTCCAAATGTTTAAATTTAGTTAAAATTGCGATTCCGTTTAATTTGTTGAGTACATAATTGCATATTTTATTTTCTGTGGAACTACATACATACAAAAAATTGAAAGTTACCATTCTGGTTGTCTATCTATTCCGTGTCTCGATCGAAAAGTGAAAACGAGACATAAAAAAAAGAAAAATTAAAAAAAAAAAGAGATTTAAATTCCAAAAATTTTCCAAAATCAATACCTTTTTTTTTTTTTATTCAGTTATCATTCTGGTTGTCTATTTATTCTGCGTCTCGATCGAAAAGTGAAAACAAGACTTCAAAAAAAAAAAACAAATAGTTATTTTGTTTTCCAAAAATGAGATTTAAATTCCAAAAACTTTCCAAAATCAATACCGTTTCTTTTTTCTTTCATTCAATTATCATTCTGGTTGTCTATTTATTCTGCGTCTCGATCGAACAGTGAAAATAAGGCTTCAAAAAAAAAAAGAGTTATTTTGCTTTAAAAAAATTAGATTTCAATTCCAAAAATTTTCGAAAATCAATACCGTTTTTCTTTTCATTCAGTTATCATTCTGGTTGTCTATTTATTCTGCGTCTCGATCGAAAAGTGAAAACAAGACTTCAAAAAAAAAAGTTATTTTGTTTTCCAAAAATGAGATTTAAATTCCAAAAACTTTCCAAAATCAATACCGTTTCTTTTTTCATTCATTCAATTATCATTCTGGTTGTCTATTTATTCTGCGTCTCGATCGAAAAGTGAAAATAAGGCTTAAAAAAAAAAGTTATTTTGCTTTAAAAAAATTAGATTTAAATTCCAAAAACTTTCCAAAATCAATACCGTTTCTTTTTTCTTTCATTCAATTATCATTCTGGTTGTCTATTTATTCTGCGTCTCGATTGAAAAGTGAAAATAAGGCTTAAAAAAAAAGTTATTTTGCTTTAAAAAAATTAGATTTCAAATTCCAAAAACTTTCCAAAATCAATACCGTTTTTCTTTTTATTCAGTTATCATTCTGGTTGTCTATTTATTCTGCGTCTCGATCGAAAAGTGAAAATAAGGCTTAAAAAAAAAGTTATTTTGCTTTAAAAAAATTAGATTTCAATTCCAAAAATTTTCGAAAATCAATACCGTTTTTCTATTCATTCAATTATCATTCTGGTTGTCTATTTATTCTGCGTCTCGATCGAAAAGTGAAAATGAGGCTTCAAAAAAAAAAAACTTATTTTGTTTTAAAAAAATGAGATTTAAATTCCAACAAATTTTCAAAATCAAAACGGTTTTTTTTTCTTTCATTTTTGCCGATTAGACACGAACCGACCCGCACACAGTACGGCTGCGTAAATAATAAAACCGCGCCCCCATCGCTCACTATTATTTATCCCCGAGGTCCTCGTGTTTTTTGACGTCCAATCCGTTGACCATTTTTTCTATGCTCTTCAAGTCGCTCGGCGACGTCGCCGCCTCCGGTTTCGGCGACGTCGTGCTCGACCGCATCGGCGGCGACAACGACCCCGCCCTGATCTTCGTCGAGTTCGGCGAGTTGCTCAAACTCCTGGTGTGGGAACCGGGGGTGACCGTCTCGAACGCGCTCCCCAATGGCGAAGAGCTCACCCCGCCGCCGCCCCCGTTAGCGCCGGGCAACGAGTACGGGGTAAATCTATGGCTACCTTTAAGGTGGTTGTGGATGGGAGACGTGGGCGACAAATGGTGGGGGTTCGGATGGGCGAGATTCTGGTAGTGGGAGAAGAGAGCGGGATGCTGCGCGGCCAGTGCGAGCTGCGCGTTAAACAGGAGACCGGGATTCATGCCGCCGGGCGCGTGCGCACCGGTAAACAGGCTCAGGGGGGGACCAAAGGGGGGACCCGCGGCACCGGGATACATTCCCGGAGGATAGAGGTAGGGTAGAAGGTGGGGCGGTGGGTGGATCGGCGGACCGACGCTTATGTTCGGCGCGGGGTACTCCCCCGAGGAGTTGGAAGGCCCGGCGGCACCGTCTTTCGGGGACGTGGGACGGGGCCGGAACGCCGTGCTGCCTGGTGACTCGGAACAGCTCGACTCTGAGCCAGAGTCGTCGTGTAACCGCCTGCGCAGCGAGTCGTCTTCTGCGCCTGGAACAAATGAGAGAGGATTATAACCTAACTAACAGAGGGAGTGAACGAGTGAAATTTCGCGATGGTGCTGCTATATAAATCAACCTACCTAATTTTGAATGAACTAAATAGACCGTTCTTCAAAATAATAGAAGATAAGCCTATTACAAGAGTAACAGAAAGGAAAATAACTCCAGGACGATAATTTGAACTCTAGGACAGATCACCATAAATACAGCACTAAAACGTGGATACCTACTGCCTAGGATATGTTGATGATTTAACGATTATGGTACGATCAAAATGGGGCTATAAAAATCGTGGGAAACTGGTGTCAAAATGAACAACTAGCAGTTAACCCGAAGAAAACAGTTATGGGTTGTCACCATCATCAGTCATCGCGAATATTTATATTCTATATAGAAGCTCTCCACACCTTCCATCTAAAAGCAAATTTATGGAAACGCTACGTCGATGATACTTTTGTCATTTGGTCTCATGGTCAAGAATCCCTAATAGATTTTCCTAGACATTTAAACTCTAACAATACACACTAACATACGTTTTACCATTGAATTAGAAACTAATAACAACCTCCCATTCTTAGATATTCTAATCAACAGAAAATCACCTAAAATTGGGTCATTGTGCTTACAGAAAACCTAAGCACACAGACCGATACCTTAGTGCATTGTCAGATCACCATCCGGCCCAAAAATTATCGCTTATCAACTATCTTGTTTACAGAGTCGCCCGACTCACTGAACCCAGAATTAAAACATCTTACCTCTGCTCTTCTCTCTAATAATTTTCACATTAAAAATATTAAGCGTTCCATCACAAAATACAATTTGAACTAGGTTCAAAGAACATGAAAGAGCCATATGACTACGACAAATAAACTATCACCAGTTGCCGAACACAATCACGAACCCGGCCATCAAATTTTATTCGATAAAATAAAATTCTTGCATTTAATCAATTCTTCTACCAACAACAAATCGGAGAGTCTATAGAAATCTATAAGCAACCTGTCACCAATATGGGCATCAATCATCCGAGACCGTATTTATGCCCACCATGTAGCTCCGCCCCCCTCAAACAATATACAGGTACCGACGCAGGAGGAATCCAGAAGTTATGTAAAAAGTTTTCATTTACTAACAGGTGTGACCTTAGACTGAAACCTCCGGTAGAAAAGCTTCTACGTTTGTAAGAACTAACAACGAACTAAAAGTTTACTTGAAGAGCGCAAATTCAAAGGTACAAAAAGATTGACTGTACAGCAGCAAGACCGATGATAGTGTACAGAGGGGTTGTCTGGTGGACAAAAACCATGCAGCAAAAGCGGACAAGGCGAGTAGCGTGCTGATCCTACTGAATATTCTACCAAAAAGAGGCAAGGTCTAGCAATGGCGGTGCACATAGCAACAAATGTAACACGCTCTACTGGGAGATAAAGGCAGACGGGCTGCCTATGGAGAGCACTACATCCAAATACTGCTATGCTAAAGATTACAATATTCAGAGCCCAACAAAGTCAGGGGTAGCAGCTGGAATATATGAACCCAGGATGAAAATAAAAAATCTATTCCAATATACAAGCTAGTAACAGTGTTAAAAGCAGGTATTACCGTGCTAGAACGCACAAGGCGAATGATTGGATCAGAACCCTTTGGCATGGTGGCTAAATCCATTGCAAAATTAAAAAGTGTAGGGAAAGAGACTCCCGAAAAAAGTAGAGAGACATGCCACAACAAAGACAGACCAAATTTACGGCAGACATTCTAAGCTACAAAAGATAGCACACAGGTACAATAACAGTGTGAAGGCCTATCGAGAGTTCGTTTCGATCTGATGGGCGTAACTTAGAGACGAACCTAGATAAAGCTTTATAGAAAACGTCTCAATAGATCCTTGGTACAGCAGTGACGGATAGACCAATTGCTAACTCTAGCAAATTTTGAATATTAGTATTTTGGGCAAATAAAAAAAGAGACTTGTACCAAGCCCAACGACTTACCAGAGTGATTCATTGACGAAGCGACAGGAGTGGACGAGTGCAACGAGGGCCTGGGACTGTCCGCCGTACCGACGACGTCCAGTTCCGACTCGTCCGTTTTCGACACCGTACTACTGTCCGCGGACATTCTCGCCGGCAAAGGGTGGGACGTTTTGTCGTCCGTATGCCGTTGTGCCAGCATCGCCTGTCTGTAACAATAGAAGGAATAGGCCTATAAATTTTATCGTCTTGACAAATAAAAGTTATGCTTCTACATATTTTGCATTGACCTGTAACATTCTATCAGAGAGCCAGTCGAGTGGATGTCCATTATTTCCAAAAAGAGCCTTAAGAGTAATGGTCGTGTTTACTTATAAAAGTGGTTAAATTTTGTTTCTGAAAATGTATAACAATATCAACCCTCGACAAAGAGAACCATTTTAAACAAGCAACAAATTGGGTCATATACTAAAAGTCCCAAAGTCTCAATGACGGTGAATTTGTTAAAACTCTGGAAAAAATATTAATTTTTTTATTTGTTAAAATAGTATCAATAGCAAATAATTTAGAGCGGTGAGATTGGAAACTGGAAATGGTTAGGCCAAAATATTGACCCCACCAATGGGGGATGAAAAATAAATAAAGAAAAGCTGTGCCCTGTTCAAACAATAGGCATATGGCTCCAAACTACAGTTGAGACATATATTTTGAATCGCATAACTCTTTGGGATAGAGGGTGATTTATTTAAAAAAGCAACATATCAAAAAAATGGAAGTAATTGGAAAAAAGTACCTATTTAAAGGTAATGGGTTACAAAAAAGGAAATACAGATTTCTAATAGGTTTCTTTACATTTTTAGATCAACTCACGATATAATAACGTGGAACCCCAATTTCGTTTGAAAATTGCGAAAAAACAATATTACTTACGTAAATGGGAAAATAAAAAAAAATTGACATGAAAGTTTTATCCTATTGTAAGAAATGAAAAAACAAGATGTGTTTTTTAATTCTCTACAAAGGAGTATTTTACATGTTCTCGAAAAAAGGAAAAACCATTAAGGAGTTGTTTAAAAAAAAAACTAAAAGAAAAGATTCCAAAATGGGAAACTTGAAGTATGTTAGTAGTGAGTAATGCGTTTGTCTGCTGTTCCAATTTATGTTATTGATAATACGGTTTGGGTCTATTTCTGCCAATATTTGCCTAGTAAATGGAGAGATCTACTTATTATTTTGACAAAGCCTGCAATTCGGGAATTATATGAATACTGTAAATAAATTTATTCTATTCCAGTATATTCTATATAAAAAACAACTTGGACCTCCGTTCGATGATGATTCATCGATTGGCATGAATTATACATGACGAAAAACGTTGGGGGTGGGGTGGGGTTATTTTCTTTGTCATCTATCGAAAAAGGTTGCCGGGTATAATTATCTCGATGGTTGGTCAATTAACCCCGGCTGCAATTCGCCACCCCAAGCCGATATACGCCTGATAGTGCGATGCCCCCACCCCCCTTTACCGAGCAAGAAATAGATCATCGGGTCGACGAGTCCAAGTCAGAATGTTAAACATTGCGGGGTGTGTGTTTCCCCTTATAAAGCAGCGCTTATTCGACTTGTTCATCAATTTTCCTGTTTTTTTTAAAGGAACTAAAAAAAATTTTTTTTATGGAAAGATGATGATCACGACCAAAATATCTGAGCGTTCGAATTCGCTGACTTTTCCAGATTTTCCCCTAAATTTTGTTGTCGCAAAATAGGGTTTTCCATTATTAGGGCCCACATACACAAAATTTTGCACATTTTATCAAAAAGAAATAAGTAGAATATTCGATAAAATGGATAAAAAATTTCAGTTTGAAGTTCAGGGCGGGGGCCATTCCTTTTCATTTTTTAGATCGATTTCTAAATACCCTAACATGTGTTGACTGACTTTAATGAATTTTAATAACTGATAAAAATAACATTCTTCTTCTTCTTCGGTATTTCGCAGTTTTTATCCTCCACAGTTCTCTTACATTCCTACTCTCAGATCTCTATCAACCATCACATGTCCAGTGTATGTCTCCCTCTTAGTGCCAGGCGTCCTCTTTATCTTCTCCCTGGAGGTTCCTATTCCAGTACTCGTTTTGGCCACCTGTGTTCTGGCATTCCTTGTTATTGTTTGTCAAATTTCATCAGTTCGTATTTGTCAGTTCTTGTGACTTCTAGACATCATCTTATAAAGATCAATTCGACCGTTTTTATTTTGTTTTTGTCGTCTTTGGCCATACATATGCTCCAAATAAGGTGATATTTCGTATTTTGCTTTAGAAGGTTCTTTTTTTGTTTTCTGTAGTAAGAGTATTGTTCCATATCAGTCCATGAAGTGCTCTTGTGCATTGTTTTCCTCGTTCTACGTGTGTCTCTATATATGTGTGTATTGTCGATCTCAGATACTCGAAACTTTGGCAGCTATAAATAATTTCGTCCTCTACGTTCAAATCTAAATCTGCAACTTGTTGTCCAATACATATTCGGTTTCATCCGTATTTATTTTCAGTCCCCACAGTTCACTCGTCTTTTAGCATTCTTATGGAATAGATGATTGATTCCATGTACCCTTTTTCTTGTGCAAAACTAACTTGATCATTCGCGAAAAGAAGTGAATGCAATATATTTCCTTGTATCGGTATACCCCATCCCTCCACACTTCTTATACCATCTCTTTAAAGCTGCATCCTTGTTTTAGTAATTTTGTGATGACTATTGATTTCGTTAATTTTATTTCCGCTTTTGTATCATTATATAATATTCTCGTTATATTCATTAATTTTTCTCCAACGTTTCATAGTTTCCCATAACACTGTCATACGCTTTTTCTAAGTCAATGAATGTCATAATATGTGTTTCAATGTCCTTGGCTTTATTCTTTTCTATAACCTTTCTCATGGTAAATATATTGTCCAGGCTTGATCCACTTTTCCGGAATCCTGATTGTTCTTCGCTTAAATCATCCATATGTTGTTCTATTTCTTCTTGTATTATTATGGTGAAAAATCTTGCGATTGCGGGGATGACACTAATGTTTCTATAATTGTTGGTTGACTTCTTATTGTCTTTTTTTCCTTCTCCTTTTTCAAGTTTATTAAATAATATTCGAATTAAAGATACCACACCATCCTTTCTGCTCCATATTTCAACAACTCTATTTTTATATTTCCTGGCTCAGGTGCTTTATTGAAAATTAACCAAAGTATTCAAATTCCTACTTCAAATTTTTGCATTTTTTTACCATCTCGGGAATTAAATTAGTCCGACACTGGCACGTAAGAACCTCGGCGTCCAAAGAGCAGCGATCAATCGTATGGGGGGATCGAATTGTCACCGTCAGTTACCCCGGAGTACAAACTACCCCGATTGATAACGCGATTAAGATGTCTCGAACTGAAAGTAAAGAACGGAGACAGCCCAGCAGCTGAGGTCGTTAGAGGAAGTAATATCGATTTTCAATCGGGCGGCTCGGTCGTTTCGCAAATAACAAGGGGATGTGATTAAAGTCAAAACGGATTTGGCGGACGTTTTGACCCGACAGTGCCCGATAATATATTTTTCAAAAGATAAAAAATCGATGGAGATTTCCATTAACCTAATGGTATGTAAGAACATGGAATGAATAGGAAATCATTTATACCCTAAACATACTGCTCCTATTTTTGTTAGGTCCAGATGTTGGTGCAAGTAGTCCTTGGTATGACTCAATTATACATATAGCTGCACTTATCATTCATATAATTCACATCGAGATGTGAAGTGAAGTAAACTACCTATCACTTAATGTAAAACAGGTGTAGTACAACAATGGGGTATCCTCCATCCAAATTAACACAAAAAACAAGCATTTTCCAGAGAGAGGATAGATGCAGCAACCATTCAAATTGATATTTAATTTGGCAAGAATAATCTATTGACTTCTTCCGAAATTATAGAGCTAGATTCGTCTCTCTGACTAGTTGCCACAGCTTTGTGCGTAGTTGCCAGAAGTTGATCGTGACCTGGTTTTGTTTGGCTACGGCACACACTTTCAATAAGCCTTTACAGTCACACTTCTTGTTTTCTTCCACTTCCATCCCTCCATCCATGGCTCTCTCTCCCCACTTCTTTGCAATGGTGGCTTTCGTGCCCTGGTACCAATGAGGGGCATCAAAGAAATCCAATTAGACAAAATGAGGGAAAGGAGAAAGAGAACAAGAAATGTAACTATCAGAAGAATGCTGCGAATAATATGGACGAGCAGAAAGAAGTATTCAAGAGAATGAACACCCGTCTACACAGTTAAACTTAGGAAAATATATAGAAGAAAATCCCAAAACCGAAATGAATTTGTCATTTGCATCGCCAACCTCATCAGAAGCGTCACTTAGGAGGACAGCTCCTTTTTCTTACTGGGAACCATAATTAGAAACCAATTAGACATATCCAGCAATCAGACATCATAAATACAATTGGTAGAGCAGGAAAGTGGAGAACAGAGCTTAACGTTGTTCTCTGTCGTTATGCGAACAACTGTTTTCTAGAAGAACATAATATTGGTTGAAGACCTTAATGTATATCTTGATATAAATAATTATTAATAAAAATAACAAACTGGTTAATTCAAAAACTCACGAGTATGAAGCTTGGAGAAAATTTAACTTAACAAAAAATGCATTTCTTGGACAAAAAAATTACTTTCATACTGGTCAAACAATTTATAACGCACTGCCTCTAGAACTGAAAAATGAAATAAAATTAAAATCCTTAAAAAAAAATTAACTAAGTGGCTGATTGATGCTAAATTGTAACTTAAATTTCTAAGTCGAATTCGCAGATTTATTAATGTATTGTAAATACATAAAAACGTTTCTTTTTTTTGTAGAATTTTATGCTTTTTTTATATTATATAATAGACGGGAAACATAATTAAATTAATCTGCGTTATGTTCAAGGATGGCTGTCAAGTTTTTAACTTAGTATAACTTGAATATAAGTGTTTTTTTTGTATTAATATTTATTTCATGTTTACGTTACAATAAGTTGTTAAATTGTGTATTTTTATTGATTTAAATAATTATTATTATTATTATTATTATTATTATTATTATTATCATTATTATTATTATTATTATTATTATTGTTGTTGTTATTACTATATCAAGTCAAATTTCGGTTGTTCCTCTGAAAACATTAAAATTAGTTTAGATAGGATAACCTCAAATATTCGCCATGAATGGCTTCTCTGCGCTGTTGCCGCTCGGTGATGATAAATTTAATGATCGCTCCCCGTACAGAGGTCCCGCAGTTCTTCCGCTGTTCCGAACTTTGCATTTTTATCCTATTAGTGGAAATTTATTCGTCATACGACCGGCTGGCACGGCACATCTTATTCCGGTCGACTCGACGGGCGGGATATTCAAATTAGAGACCGCAAAATAGAAAGAGACGGGCGTCCCAGCCCCCTCGCCGCGCCCGCCACCGTCGTATCGTTTTAAATTAAGCTTGGCATTTGTTTAAGGTCACGCCGGGGGTGCAAAAGGGCGACTTTCCGGGGAAACCGCAAGGGCGAAGAAAACTGCGTCGTCAATCGGCGCGATCTGGACGACTGTGCGCAGTGGCTCACGAGCGGGGTTCGTTTAAAATTTTCTTTTTCATAGTATAGTCGCGCTCGTCAGAAATAGACCGCATTTGATATACAGGGTATAAAAAAAAATTCATAACTAGCAAAAACTGCACCATCCTAATTGCTGGGTGTGACGGATTTGAATGTTTCCGATCATAGTCTAATTTAGGTTGCGGAAAATTAAATTCACAGACTACTGAATAAAATATCATATACTGATTTTCATATAGATTTATAAAATATTCCGCGGCATAACAAATTTCACATTTCGAACATTGTCCATTAAATAACTTGTATTTTAAGTCTGTTCCATAAACATGTTGCTATGATGCGCTTATAAAAAAAATTATTCGTATGCCCTATGGATAATGGAAAATATTAAATTGCTCCAAAAATTATGAAACGATGCGTTAAAAACCTTTAAATTCTTCCCGGTACATATGAATATTATAAGGTAGCTCAGAAATTATACAACTGCGGAGATACGTTCTGAGAAAAAAACATACTTACGCCATCAAATTTAGAACTCCAGCACTTGGTCGGAATTGAAAAAAAACTCAACACAGTTAAATCTAGGACACACAATCTTCTTTCAAGTAATTTTTCAGATCCTGATGCTTTAAATAGGTTTTTTTATTCAATCGGTCCAGAATAATAAAATACCTGACCAGAAATTAAGAAATATTTATGATAATAATCACCTAGAACAGATCGACCAACAACAACCACTAAACTGTGTGCTAGATACTGAAATATTTGATATAATATAAGAAATATAAAATCTAAAGCGATGTGCAGTAACGGGTTAAATATTACTTTCATACAGCTGAGTTGTCTTGTCATTATTCCGATCGTAATAATGTGATAACTTCGTGCTTTTTAGCGTCTTATTGGGGGAAAAAGTTACACCTCTTACACAAACAAAAAATCGTACATATTTTAATCATCTTAGGCCGATTAGTATTCTTCGCACTCTTTTGAAAATGGTCGAAAGGAGGATTTCTGACAGAATACAATATTCTACCCAAAAGACAGTGTGCTTTTAGGAAGGCTCATAGCTCCGAAACTGCCCTGGCAGATGTTAATGACGATATACTACGAGCAACTGATGATCAAGTCATTGATACTTTTGGACTTCAATAAAACGTTCGATTCGAAACATTCTGCACTATATTGGACTTGGAAAAAAATCGTGTACACTATTAAGTTCTTTAGTGTCTGATCGAGTTCATATAGTAATAAATCTTCCCCACTGCTCTTTGTTCTATTGGGGGTACCACAGAATTGCATTTTAGCTCCCTTGTTACATACTATTTACACTTTTAATTTAATTCATTGGAGAATTGCAGTCATCACCTCTATGCGGAAGACACTCAGATCTATTTTGTATACCGCAGACTTATGTAAATTTTTAATCATCTGCTGCAACGTAAACCAACTAAATTGCCAGTGTTATTCCTCGGCAGTGAATCCCAGACATTTGAAGTAAAAAATACTATGCTTATGAAACTTTCACGTTTCTACCGTATTCACTTACAAGTAAAATTTTAGGTTTAATATTTCATTCTAAGTTGCGTTTCATGGATCACGTCACAACAAAACTAAGAACGGCGTATACAAATTTAAAACTGATCTGCAGCGACAGACATGGTCTGGCTATAAATAAAAAAAATACTTTGTGAAACTATTGCCTTGCCGCAATTAAATGGGGTCTATTGGATATGTCCGGATGCCGTTGACCGGCAACGAATTCAAAAATTCAAAACCCATTTATCAAAGGTGTTGATTTTCAATATATATTTTTCATAATTTCTAGTTCTAATTACATTGTCTCGTATTGCGAGCATATAGCCCTCAGTTTCAGGATAAAGATGGCCCTTATGACGCCACTGTAGTGATGATGTTTTGTCGTGTTAGTGTTAGAGCGTATTTACCAAGAAGTGCTTTTTCCTTCCAAGTTTGTATTTCCTGATGTAGTGTTGATGTTGTATCGGTTACTATTGGCATACCAGAATTGAGTGGTGTGAAGTTTTTATCAACATTTATTATATGATACGGTCTGTGGATCCTAGTAATTTTAGAGACCCGGTTTCTGCAAATTTTGCTTGTATTTAGAAACCCCCTGCCACCTTCTTTTCTAGGAATATAAAGCCGTGATGTTGATGAGTTGGGATGTAAACATCTGAATTTTGTTAACGTCTGGCGAGTTGTTCTATCAAAGCCTTCCAAGTCAGTATTGGACCATTTAACTATAGCGGCGATGACGTTATTATTATTATTATTATTACACCCTAAAGATATTCAGTTAAAAAACTACCAAACGTTGTTCGAATTTCGTTAACGTCCATATTATCATGCACCCTATGACATTAACCCGTATACACACGGACGAAATTAAACGGCAGTTTGTTTGTCGTGGGGGAGGAGGCGAAAGCTGCCCTTTAATTTTAAAGTCCGATCTTTTAATTTCCTATCTAAACCGACACGGTTTTGTATTGAAAGAAAATTAACACCCCCCCTCCTCCCGGCGGGTGGCCGCATACTATTTAAATACTTACTTTTTCTCCCTCTTGCCCGCACCGGTATCTCTGAAACCCTTGGCGAATGGATTATTGTCTATTTTCAGTTGGGTTATCTGAAAAAAAGGAAACGACAACATCAAGTTAATGCTTGATAATCGATATGACCCAAAATATTTAGTTATTAATTTCCCTGGTGGATGTTTAGCTAAAACACAAGGGATTCAAATACAAGATTTGTATTACGAGTGACTAACAATTAGTGTTTGGACACGTGACACTGGGTAAAGAAGCTGAGTAGGGAGTAGAAACAATTATTTTGTTAGAGTTCTCCAAACGACATACCGTTTTTACGATATAATCCGGTATTTAATTTTTTATGAAGGTGTAACCGCAGGCCTATCTCGCTTGGGTTTGTCTTTGTAACCCTCAATAACTAGTTTCGCAATTACACAATGACGTTCCAGAACCGTATTTCGGTACTTCGTGCATACAAATGCTGAAAGCTGACGGATTTGCGTAGAGTTTCATCGGTGAGATTCCTCGATTATTATTAGTCCATGCAGTAAAAAATGCATTCTTACTTTAAAATGCTTGTATAAAACAACATTAAAATAATCACTATCGTCACTGCACTCGTCCCCCACATGAATAATTAATTCTGGCTCTAGTCGACTTCTGTAAATATTTTCTTCTTCGATGGCATATTCTACACATTTTTTCCAACTAGAAGCGGATATGTTTTCTACTTCTATAAGAATTAATTCTATTGCCCCAGGACTAAATTTCGGCGAGGTGTTGTTTCTTTTTAAACTGAGTTTCAGTAGTAGGGACTGCTTTAGGAAGATTTATAAAAAGCACACTAATAAGAATTAATATAAGAATTTAATCAAAGAAAGACAGTTCGCACGGCCCAGCTCTCCTTGGCTAATATCTTTAATACGGCCCTGGCTTGTGGTACACGCGCTGAAAAGGATGGTCGCTTGCGCTTTACAACTCATTCCGAAGTCAAAACCATAAAAGGTTGTAAAAACGGTATATTGCTGCAGAACTCTACTACAGTTTCTTTATTAGAATAGCGAGACCTGTATTTCAAATAGTCCGTTTGCCACTGCAGCAAAGTGAATGTAGCCACCATAGAAAACGAAAAGGTAAGTGCATATACTTAAATACTACTGGAAATTTTTGCGGTTGTTAAGAAAAGTTTTTCTCAGCGTAGCAGCCATCTCGCGTCATCGTCACCGCAAGAAATTCCACTTTGCCGTAAAAAAAATAATAATAATTCAAACAATAGTCGGTAACGATATGTATTATTAAACACCCCCCGTTGTCGTACCGCTGCCGCCATATGTCGTCACATTACCACGAATCGTCGGCATCTAGTTGTCGTTTTTACATTTATAATTTTCGCTCATCACATTTGTAAACAATAAATTTTCCACAATGCGCTCCGGCAAGTGCCGTTAATTTTTATTGGATACCGTGCAGAATGCACCTGTGCGCGAATACCATTGACGTGCGAGGTAGACCCCCACCCGTTCGTGATAGACACACGCCAATGGAAGAGTTTTCCTACTATTTTTTCCTAATGGAATGCGACTCCGATGAAAATGCCAAACACTATTTTGACTATATATAGGTCCACAGATGTTTTTTTCTTTAGTTTTTGTTTTCCAATAAGTTGGTAGCGTACCAACAAAACTCAAAAACAAAAACATATAAGCGGTTGGCTTTTAAAAAACACTACTTTCTTACTAAACTCTTTGTTTTTGTTTTTTCAAAATAATGATAGTGATTTGATAAGTTTACATTTTGATAGGTGATCATACGTTTGGATTTTTGATATTTTGAAACCACATTTGACCTTCTCCGTATCGGCGATTTGAGAACTTGAGAAGAAGAACAATTATTAAATAGGAAATTATCTAAAACGCATCAAGTGTTCGGAAAGTGTTACTTTCAGACACAAGGTTCATTGCCTAAGGTGGCGCGACATTTCTGGTATTTTAGTCACGGGTAGCATATTTATTGTTATTTTTAACTTGAAAAAATCCCTAAAAGTACATGTCGATTTTCGATGCTATATGAAAAAAAAAGATCCATCCAGCTAAAAAAAGAATTATCAAAATTGAGCCATAAATATTCTGCGGGAGTAATGCTTAAACGAACTTCATGGAAATCAGTGTAGTTAGGTTTCATGTAGTCCTGAAAAAAAAATTGTTGGCACTTTATTCGCAAAGAAATTCCTAACAGCCCTTCTCGATATTTGACATAAAAAAATTAGTCCCGGTGGGCCATAAGTTCAGGTTGATGCGAAACATAAGGTTTTCGTGCGTTTTTCAAGGAGCGAGAAAAAAAATATATCAAAATTAAACCGTAATCAAAGATTTTACAACAATGTACAGCCTGAAGCGGGGCGCAAACGTTAATTCAAACACCCTGTATTGAAACCTTATAATTATAATTATAATTGGATTCTAAATAGTACTGAATAGGAATTTGTTGCCAATTATTTTTTTTTAAATCCCTAATAGTACTTCTCTCTTCTCTCTCTTTTGTTAAATGGTCTCGGTTGGCCATGACTTTAAGTTGAAGCAATGAGCGAAACAAGATTTTAATGCATTTTTCAAAGATCTATCCGTCAAAAAAAATTATCAAAATCGAATTCTAAATAAAGAATTTAGGAGAGTCTACAGTTCATAAATGGGACAAACTGTATATACTATTCCGATCACCCTTAACTCAGTTGTCGCTGGTAAGAAATTGAAGCTTTTGCTGGAAGTCAACTGAGTAGTAGAAGATATGTGTTAACTCTTGATAAAAAAAATATATTATCAAGATATGTAATTGATGTATATATCTACAAGTTATATAGGATATTATATCAATCTTGATAGAATATCTGAAAAACTACCTGATTCACAGAGAACAAAAAATAAACTAAAATTGTTGCAAATTTTTAACTTTTTTTTTAAATTTTTATTCGCAAAATTTGAATATCTTTGCGTATCACAAAAAAAAGTCTAATGGATTCAAATCCTGCGATATCGTGTGTTAACAGTGTTGAAATCAAAAGTGGAATTTAAAAAAATGTGATTAACTTAAAAAAATAACGTGCAGCGTTTTTTTTTTTTGAAAACTCCCATTTAATTTTTTTTTTTTAATATCTACCATGTGCTTCAAACGATTTGAAATATATTTCTTCGAATTATGAGTACGAAAGGAAAATAAACAAATGAGCGTGAATAAATGTTCGACTTTTCCGAAAAAGGAGAGCAAGGCTCCGTATAGAAAATAATATATACGCGTGTAGACGCGGCGTTAATTAATTCAATCTAATCGCAAAAAGCCATAAACATTGCGATAAATACAAATTTATTTAACACATTAGCAATAATTCATACGTTAAATCGCCCAATTATAATAAAATTACATTGTTTAACGGGCTGCGGGATTTTATTTTCTTGCGGTAAACCAGTTTTTAACGTCAGCGTTGCTTACTCGTGTTATTAATATAAATCAAAATTAATAAAGAGATAATTGTTACGACTTGCGGTGTAATTAGTTTATTATTGTCAATGTCGTGAGACGGCGGGTAGGGCAAACCATTTCCTTAAATATACCGAGACGATTCAATTACAAATAAATAATTAATAATAATAATAATAATAAATAATTAGTAAAAATGAACTAGTAAAACATTAGTGGAAACCAAAAACGCTTTATTTGAACTTTTAAAAAAATGTATTTTTCTCATGACACCTGTTTCTCATATTTTCCAATACTTTTTTTCTTTCGAAGTATCTATTGTGGTAATATTATTTCTTTTTCTTTTTGAGTTTATAAGTACATTTTTGACATTGATTTTCATGAAGTATAATAAATATTTTAATAAAACTACCAAAAAACGAAGCGAACCAAGGAAAAATAAAAAATAAAGATCGAAAATTGAATATTAATTATTAACTATTAACCAATAATTATTATTTCAAAAACACAGCAAATAGGTATATACTTCTTTCCGTTATTAAGTTGGTATTTACGATTAGAACCGGAGTTGTAATAGGAAGCAGAATTTGAGTTGGATATTAAAATTTGATTAAATGATGAGGGATTTTAGAACTAATCATCAGAAGCAGAATTGGAGTTAGATATTAAAATTAGAATATAGAATCGATCGGCATTAAATTTACAACTTAGTTAGGAGCTAGAATTAGGTTTAAAATCTCGTCAGCACTTAATTAGGAGCTGGAATTAGAATTAGAGGAGTTTGTAATAAGTAGCAGAATTTATTTTTTTATTTTTATTAAAATTACATTGTAGAAGAGGCATACTTTCGTCATTTAGGTTTGGGAACTAGAATTCGGATTAAAATTAGAGTTATAAGAAGAAGCGTAATTACAGTTTGATGTTAAAATTCGTATAACGAAACAGAATTATAATTGGAATTACAATTTAAGTGAAATGTGAAATAGAGTTCGAGTTGGAGTTCAGACTAGCAGTTAGGGATTAGAACTGGAATTATAATTAATAGAATTAGAATTAGTAATGAAATCGGAATGCGTATTAAAGTAAGAAATTCGTATTAGAATTAGGAAGTGAATTTTTCGTGCACGTTAAAATTAGAAGTGAAATTCATATTAGACTTGATGTTAGGAATTGAAATTTGATTTTGGTTAAAATTATAAGCAGAATTAGAATTAATGCGAAATAAAAATAAATTTCGAAGCGTCGCTATTACAATTTCGTAATCTTAATTAGAACTAGAAGTGAACTTAGATTATTAGTTCCATTTTAATTAATATTAGAATTTAGAATTAGGCTTAGAGTTGAAGTTAGATATAGAAAGCGATTTCGAAATGGATTTTTTTTCCCGGGCCGCATCGTCCTTTTCGTCGGATACGCCGCTGACGCCGAGAATGCCCGTGCCCGAGTTTCTAAGAAGAAATTTCATTTCGTCTAATTATCACGAGACACGAGAGAAGATAGTGGGACCCGCGCGTAATCTGCTCCAACGCTGACGCGCGGCGTCTTTCAACTTCTTGCGCTGTCGCTTTGACTTTGTTTGTGTAACACATTTTTTAAAAGTCTTCTAAGAACTAATTAGCGCCGTTGTCGTTTTGTTTTTTTTTTGCCTCCGAGTGTGTTTGTGTGCGAGTCAGATCGGCCGTTATAATGGCCAATTTTACGTATCGCCTAGTTTGCGATGGCGTTTAATTTTTACATAATTGAGTCGTTTTCGCGCTTACTGTTTTTGAACGCGCTCGATTAACGCTAACATTAATTTTTGACGTTAATAATGGCTATTAACACTTGTTATTGCGGCGTGCAATGGGTTATATTGCTTTTTCTACTCGCGTCTGTAAAATACCTAATTACACACCGATCTAGCGTGCGTGAAGCGTCATTTTACCACGTCGCCACTTCGGACGTTTCCGGGATTTTACCGCACGGATTTGGGGGAAATCGGATATTTTCGGAGATTCTGACGGTCATGCCAGTGAATGTATTCGTGTTGTTTTGCGAAAATGGTCCCAAACACTAACGGTCGTAGAAAAAGTATAGTATGCAACACGTTCGGTAAACTTTTTAACTCACTCGTTTATTAAAAACTCGCTCCGCTCGTGTCAAATAAACTCGTGAGTCAAATGCCGTTTAACGCACTTGTTGCATAATATACTCTAAAATGCCTAATTATGCACTGGTCGGGCGTGCGCAAAGTATCACTTTAACACGCCAGCTTAATTAAACATTGTCGCGTGTGTTTCCGATGCTTTAGTCACGGATTAAGAGCGATCGGATGTTTTACAATACTGTTTTTTGCCGTTAAAGTTTTAACTAGTGTACTCGACGGATACTTACTTTTTCATTTTGATAAGCCGTGACCGCAATGAATTCGGTCTCCTTGAAGACGTACGTCCGAAACGTCGAGTACGGTAGTTTCAAGATGTCGTTGGCCCGAACTAGATGAAATCTAGGCTGGTATTTGTGCATGGAGTTTAATATCGTCTGGAACAAAAAGGGAACATTGCTATTCGCTATACGAAAACTAAATCATTAATAAAAAACAAATTACAATATTCTGCCATTGAGTGGCCAGAAAATATACACTGTATACAAAAATTATTAAAACTGAAATAGTATTAAATGAGCCGTTTATTTTGAAAGTGGCTTAAGTCCGTTTTCATCTTTTATCAAGTTCGGTATTGAAATATACTTAGTACATTTGAAAATTTTATATCACGTACATTTCCAAAATAATATAAATACTGAGAATCCTAATTTTGAAAGTGACGAAGGTAATTTGAATTACGTTTTGATATTAAATGGAAATTTAAAAAATAATATTTAATTTGAAGAAATTATTAAACCCATGGGAAAGGATAAAATAACAAGGTTTCCTGTTTCTGAAAGTAAAGAGGAGTTAAACTCATACAACAAATTTAAAAAAAGAAGGAGGATTTTAGAAGTTCATTCTTCAACAGAGGAAGAGGAAGTAATTGAGAATGATAATTTACAAAACAGCACCTTCAAAGAAGAACGCAGAGAACACAGAAGTTATATTCAGACAAATTCGTAAAATTAAACGGACATAATCGGGAAAAAATATTCCTGCCCAAATTTTTCAAAATGAAAAATTTAAATGAAACGGAAAGAAAACGTATTTTCGAATTGTTTTGGAACTTAGGAGACTTTAATAAGCAAAATATATTACTATAGGAAGCGACGGGACGCAGTGTTCATGTAGAAAAGAGAGTTTTACGTATTTGTTAAATTCTAAAACAGGCAAAGTTGCTGTTTGTAAAAAATTCTTTTTAGATACTTTTCAAATAAGCGACGGACGATTGAAACCTGTATTAAAATCTAAAAACGTTGGCAACGATTTATATCCACAAGACTCTTAGAAGAAGCGGTTTACAAAAAATACCAACGGAGAAAAAATAAACTGGCTTCAAATATGCTGCATGAGAATGCAGAATTTAAAATTCTCGATTTATTGCCACGTCGGGGTAGCCCTAAAAAGTTTGGGAATATTGTATTGCCATCGTTATATAAAAGTATAAGCAGCGTCACATCACTAAAATATGGATGGATTTATTGCGGTATATATCCTCCGGAACACCATAACTACTTCAAATCACTCCCGCATACTGAGAATGTTAACGAATAACTAAATTTATTTCTATTATCTAAAAATAGAATTTAAATGTTTTTTTTTCTATTTTTTAAGCCATATGTAACGAACTTGAGCTGTTTCACTTTGTGTAACAAAACAAATTTTTATTTTCAAAGTGACCTAAGTCCTTTTATGGTAAGCAAGGTCATATTATACACTTAATAATAACGATTTTTTAATAAGATGTATAAAATTAAATCCCTTAAATGCGATGTAACATGGCAAGTGAACCATATATCTTACGTATATTTTTAATTTTGTAACAACTTAAGTATTTCAAATTAAAGATAAATGGACTTAAGTCACTTTCAAATGAACGGATCAAATAGTAAATAGCAAAAAATAACTGAGCAAAACATATTCCCTATATAGAAAGCAGGTAATAGAAATATAAAAATAGATACTTAGAGGACAACAATAGGAGATAAATATAAACGAAAAGACAAAGTGAGAAGAATAGTTATAATTAGTGAGCATATTCAATAATAAAAGATTTTTTAATTCATAAATGAAGTGTTTTTTAATAATTCAGTTATAAATTAGCTCGAAAGAAGTAAATAGGCCGCTAAAGTGCAATAATAATTTATATTAATTTGATAAGCTGGATATCAAGAATCTATAAAATGTCATGATACCATGAATAAATAGATGACGGATCCAAAATCCAAAAATTCTGCATCAAAATTCTCAATAGCCACAGCTTAAAATTCTGTTATATTGAATGATGATTTTAATGATTTTTCCTTATTTCATTATGATGTCGATGTCTGTGAGATAATTTTTGTTGACCAGTTTATTTAGATTTTCATATTTAGGAAATATTTTAAAATAAATAGAAACAGTTAAATTAAAATAAGTAATTTTGAATATTGTTATTACATTTCTAACATTTTTTTATGTTTTTTTGAGAGCCGGGAAGGCAGGTGAAATAATCTGACACATATTATTGTTGTTGTATTTCATCAAAATTAAACAAAACATATTTATATTCATTTGCTTCTGGCAAGACTGGTAATAAGAATATTTATTAAACTTCTTTTAAATTGAAATTACTCCATACTTTTTTTTATATAGATTGAAACCAAATCGACATCTCGTAGGTACATCAAAACTTGCCAATGGAGGTTAAATAGTTTTCACTTCGCGTGAGACTTACACGAAATTTGTAAAAGTAAGCAATTTACATAAAATAGTAGACGTAAACACAATAACTTACGATAATTATAGACGAAAGTTAACGCGCCGCTCCGTAGTATCGGTGAATTTAACGGCGTTTGCGTCAGCCTCGAGAATTCGAAAAAGATTTAAGCCCCCCCGCTGTTCGCTAATAAGCGTCAAAAATCGGTTAGTTCACGTTTATTTTCGTTATACGGACACCCACAGAGATATCTCTCTCCGTCCCGTGTAACCGTGAAAAGATCAACTTTTCACGAAGACGAATAGACGACATTAATCAATCTCATGGAAAAAAAATCGCCATGTTCCCCGAGGGTATTGTTTTGGGGCCCGTATGTCGGCTCGTTTCAGCGTTTCGCATAAACGATAAGCGCGAGGTTTAAGTCCATAGCATGAAATACATGAGAACCATTTTAAAAACCACTCTCTGGGATTAACGGGTATCTCCTTAATTGACTAATCTTTTTTGGCCAAGTCAAAAATACCACCGCCATACATACATGATGAAAAATTGAGCAGAAAGCAGCTGTTATGTTTGGATACTTCGTCTCATGAAGCTATCGATGGGTTCCATTGGAAGTTCTGTTCCGATTCCTCCATTTACTACACTTTATCTTGTTCTTCCTTTTTTTTATATTACTTATATGGTTTAACTTCGACTGTGAATAGAACTGTTCAATTGTGGAATCACTATTCAAACCGTTACAATGCTTGGACATCAACATATCGGCTGTTTAACGACTTCAATAAAGCAATTTCAAATACCCTTGAAACATACACTTCACTCACAGTGCTTCAGTCACAATTCTTCATTGTATAAACATTAAATGATTTCAAACATTAAGAAAAATCTTATCAGACTTAACGCAAAAAAGTTTTCAAAGATTGTTTAGTTGGCGACTCGTTGCCAACATTCAGACGTTCAGACTGTTTATTGTCAAATACCAACCAGCACCAAAACAGTCTGAGTTAAGCTTCATTGCTCTTGAGACATATACCTCACTCACAGTTCATTATATGAAAATGACGCAGATTTTATCACTTGGAAATGGGATTTGAGTAAAATTTAGAGTACTTCTGAAAAGACCCTACTCAACAAAGTGGTCAAAGTTTGTTTAGTTGTTAGTTGTTTGTTATTTCAGACTTTGTCAAATCCTAGCATTGGAGCACTCTGAGAAGAGACCTCATTAATCAATTCTCCTTGTATAAACATTACATGACTTCATCATTTACGAATGTGATTTGAGTCAACTTTAAGGTAAATCTTATCAGATTTAAATATTAAAAAAAATCAAAGTTTGTTTGGTTGACAACGTGTTGCCACATTTTAACGTTCAGACTGTTTATTGTCAAATACCAACCAGCACTAAAACAGTCTGAATAAAAAATTCATTAATCTTGAGACATACATTTCAGTCACAGTTTTTCAATGTATGACCGCGGCATGATTTCATCATTTAGGAATGTAATTTGAGTAAACTTTAAGGTAATTCTTATCAGACATAAGTCAAAAAAGTGCTCAATGTTTGTTTAGTTGACAACGTGTTGGCCATCTTTTAACGTTCAGACTGTTTCTTGTCGAATATCAATACAATACAGTCTAAGTAGAATCTTCATTCACTTTGAAATATACCATTCAGTCACAATTCTTCATATGAACATTACATTGCTTTTCATCACTCAGGAGTGTGATGTGAGTAAACTGTAAGGTAATTTCGATCAGACTCAACTCTACAAAGTGGTCAAAGTCTGTTTAGTAATCGTTCAGACTGCTTATTGTCGAATACCAGCATTAGAGCAGTATGAGTCAAAACTTCATTGACCCTAAAACATTCACTTCAGCAACAGTCCTCTAGTATATGAACACTACATAGATTTCATCACTTAGAGTGATTTGATTAATCTTTACGATCAATCATCAACCCTTTGATATGGTTGCAAGGAAATAAATTTCAAAGATTATGTTTAACGCATTTTTCGTGAAATCTACATTAATTATAATCCGTAATCGAAAAGGCAGAAATACCATACTATAAACGAAAATCTTCTATATTGCTATGCTATATGATTAATTATGATTATGCGATTGGTTAACTGCATTGGACTGGAAAACATGCAATGAACCTGAAACTCAGACTGGCAAAAAATTTATTTCTTCATAGTTTAAGTAGGTATTAGACATTAGTATAGTATTGTATCAGATAATTTTGATCGATTTATCGAACTATGAGCTTCTTCTTTTGAATTATTCATACTTTCAATGAAAATCACTCCAACTGGTTGATGATTATGTAAAAACAAAATGGTTATCTTTCTCTACCATCAAACATTCTCCTCTTTAAATATGGTGGCGTCGGCTGGACGCACCCTGTACCTACGTCTGCAACGGTTAAACCGTGTCATCCGTTCACAGTCAAATTGCAGGTCTCGCGATTCCGACTTTATGTCGCAATTAGTCGCGGTTTATCTCGAGAACGGGTTTAAACGTGATAATGGCGGGCGAACTTGCAGTGGACGAGTGTTACCAATAAACCGTGCCACTTGCGCGTATCACGGGCAAATAAATGCAATTGGTTCTTCTCGGTAAGGAACGGAACGGAAATAACTTCATTTGCTCGTTCCGGACCTGAGAGTCCATCTATCGATCTACCTGGTA